CCACAGGCATACACACCATTCATTTAAGGGGTCTAAGTAAATGCGTGTCGATAGTGGACTAACAGGGCAGTGGATTTTGATGGTGCTCCTTCCCCTCTCATCCCCCCATTTTAGGAATGTAGGCCAGGTTGGATGGGGCTTTAAGCAACCTGTTGTAGTGGAAGGTGTCTCTGTGTCTCTTGCTCATGGCAGGGGGTTGTAACTAGGTGGTCTTTAAGGTCCAAAGATCCTTCCGATCCAAACCTTTCTATGATTCTATTTATGTCCTTTTCTGCCTCATTTAAATATTAAATACCAAGCAAGAAAATATAGCCTTTATTTTTCCTTTGCCTTTTCTTAGGTCAGATCTAGGAACAAACACTGAGAGTCAGCTGTAGTTTAGCAGCATTTTTTTCTTAACAGACACCAGTGTGGATTATGCTTAGAGAATGTAATTTGTTATATTAATTTAAAAAGAGCCTTTTATTAGTATACTGAAGATTTGTTAGCATTACAGTGAACAGAAATACAAAAACGTGTGCAAGTGTGTATTGCACATCTCTGTGAAAGGGAAGTTTGTCAACTTAGGCTTTTAGTCTTGAATAATTTAAAAATTAATCTGTTACATCTTTCTTGTCAGCCACCACAAGAATTTTGAAGCCGCTATGCTGGTAGCTGCACTGTCACCTATTGAAAACTAACCATATTTTAAGTTTTTCCTTAAGTTTCACAGGGCAAAGAATGTTGTGTTCAGCATTTTGTATTTTCATTTTTGCAGGATGTGCACTATTAGTAATAATACAATAAACTGTGCATTATATGTATGTATGTGTGAGCAAGCACAAATGTAAGGGATTACTGCTGCATTTAAGCAACCCACCATCCTTCCTGGTTCTGCTTTGTAGGTAATACTGCTGAGAGGACTTTCAGATCTCTGGGTGTAAAATTCTTGGTGATCCAGTAATATTTGTTGCTATTACGATTTGAAGAAAAAAAATTGGAGGAAATCTTCAGGGATTTGCCAGTTTTTTAGATTCTAAGCTCTTAAAAGTTTTCATTATCCTTTATGCCATGCTTAAATGGGAATTCATCACTATTTGAGACAGTTCTTTACTGCTTTTTGAATATGGTTAGTTAATTCTTTTCATTGATCAGTTTGGTTGGTTTTTTGATCTGGAAAGAAATTTTTTAAAAGTCAAATGACCAACAATATTGTGTGCTCAAATAAGGGAGTTCTTCTTGTTGCAATCACACCACTGACTTCTCTCCAAAGAACCACCCAAGGATTATATTTGGATCATGGGGTTTTTTTGGGAAGTCACTGTTTTTAAAAGATGAGAAGGGAGGGTGATGTTATTATTATTGAGGTTTAGGTATATTGTGTGGCTTTCAAATGTCTTCTGACAGGTGAGAAAATATTGCTCAGAGAACCAAATGTTATTCAGAGAACTGATCCAAGTCTTGACTCATATAAATGTACAATGGCAGCCAGCATAAAATCAATCTCAGTACAGTTCTGACCCCCCTTGCTCCATTTTACTGATTGCTCCATTGCCATTTCAACTTTGCTCTATCCCTGCATCACCTCAATGGATATAGATTTTTTTAATCCAATGTCTTCATTTCACCAGGTGGAATAGGCATTCTCAAGAGTTGTGTTCAGCATGTTACCCAGTATTGGTTTGGTTTATTACCGTGATAGGGAAGATTTTTGGCACATATTGCCAAGTTGTATTCTTAACTTGCTCTGTACCGGATGAGGCTGTAGAAAACACATTTGATGTTATATCAGTCTCAATCTTCTTATAGTGCCAGTGACAGGATTTTAAAGGTGAAAAAAAAATAAATTTAAAATGTAGGTTTTACTTGGTGCTATAACAGGGATAGTTTAAAATCCCACTCCACACCAGGAATAATGTTGTAATGATTGCAGCTTTGCTTAGCTAACCCTGGTAATACATGATGGGAATTGTTTCCCTGTTTATTTGACAGTAAATAACATTGCTTCTTTTCTTTCCAGTTATTTCAGTTTGGGTAGAATTATCTGAGCAAATCTATAGTGATGTGCTTGTAAGTGATGTTGTATCACTGCTAAGCAGTTTTCACATGAACAGGACTTTTTTTTTACAGAAAGATTTGATGCTGCTGTTTAAACAAGTAGTACTTGAAATTTTCTTTGAATGTTTTTGTCAGCAGCAATATAAAAATATTTACTTTCTGCTTTGATGGTAACAATCAAAGGAGAACTACAAAGTGAAGTTTTTGTGAGTTACTGTATACTGTGCTGAGAATAAACATTTTCATTTCTTAATAATTTCCAGACAATCCTGTTAATTCTACTATTATCTGTCATTCATATGATTTTGTCCTTTTTTTTTGCATTCTGTGCCAGATTTTTTCCATTATTTCTTTTTTCACTAGGATATTTTTCACAGTCTACCCCTGCACGTGATGCTCCATGCAGTTAAGGAGGACTAGAAATGTTCTTATCCTTACTGGCTTAACCAGAAAATGACTCTGTGGGCATGCACAAGCAAGTAGTTTTAGACATTGACCCAGGAAGAGTCAGACTTGAGGAGACTCTGAGACAGCCTTCAAAAAGAGAGAGACCATTTTCCTGTATGTGTAGATAGATAGATAGATAGTGATATAGATATAGATATATATGGGTAGTTAAAAATATTTTATATGTGTATAAACCTATATATCTCATATACATATGTATATGAAAAAAAAATAAAAAATGCATGTTGTAGGTGTGTACCTATGTTTTTAGATCTCCAGGAATAATTTATAACTGATCTTTGGCTGACAAAGTCTTAGTACAGTGATATTCAGTTACAGACCCACAAAGCTGAACAAGGTACAAATGTAAGATTTAGGTTCTTCTTTGGACTTCAATTTTGTTTCCTACATGTTGTATTTTTTGCACTCACTTTGAAGGTGTAAATCATCTTAAATACTTTGCACTCTAACATGATGTGGATTGCTTTACCACTACGTTTTCTTGTGTGATTATCATGTGTGTTATAGACTACAACCTATGTTCCCTGTAAAGTATTAAAATAATTAGAAGCTTCAGTTTTTAAAGTAGACTAGATAATAAAAGCATGTTCTTCCTATCTCTTTGCTAAATTTATAATTGGGGATTTTGAAGGAAGCTGGATTCCCGTGTAAGGAAGTTTCAGGACCGAAACTGTAAGCCAGTTTGTATTCCACTGGTTCAAAAGTGCTTGCAAATTATTTTCTTGTGCATCAGTAAAAATTAGTTTCTTATGCTTTAGCAAAAGAGTTAATCACATCAAAAAGTCATCTCATATACCATTCTGTGCTTTGTAGGTTCACGTTGGACAATTTTTGTGCTAAGTGTGTGACATGTCTTGCAGAAAAGCTGCATAGTAATACAGAATTACTGAGAATGTGTAATATGGCACTTTTACTTTGTATGTAAGGACATGACTTTTCATAGTTTTCAGAAAAAGATATAAACTGTGGTAGTCTTAAGGTTAGCTTAATTTTTTTTTTACTATGTAATAGTTCTGTATTGTCTAGGTTTGTAATTTTGTGTAGTCTTAAAAAAGGTGATGTTTTCTCCCCACTGGTAGATTGCAGAGGTAAAATGATCTCACTTCAGATTCTGATGAACTGGAAGATAGGCAAATTCCATTGATCCAGGATGGCCCACATGGCATCACCCTTTCTGGAGCGACCTGTGCCTGGTGACCAGGCAGTGCCCTGCAGACATGGCCTGCACATGCATGGCTGTGCTCATGAGCTCAGGGCAGGCTGAGGATGGATGCAGGCTTGATCTCACTTTTCAGCCTCAGAGCATGTTCTTCATTACAATAATACCTACCTTCTCCACAAAGAAAGTAAAACTGGTCAGTATGTAACGTTATGCTGGATGTTCCAGGAATGTGTAAGGAAGGCTGGTGTGAGAATTTTATGTGAGAACTGAAGGTTTCAAAATGATGCTCATGATAAGAGTAGAAGATTTTTACAGTGCGTGCTATCTCAGAAATGCTCAAGGGTTTCTCCCTTATCCTTGCTTGGCACTGCTGTGAAACTCACTTCCCTGACAAGACATCAAAAACATTATGTAGGGGGCATAAGGCTGCCTTTGTCTTGGGACACGAGTATTATGGTATGTGGTATGAAAGCTTTAAATAAATTATTAACGTAAAACCCAGGCTGAGAGGCTGGAAAGGACAGTGCTGAACGCAGGCATTCTGTTTGTTTCCTGCAGGGTTGAGTAGCTGGGTGAAGGGAGGGTTTTAGTATGGCTGTGCAGTGGCTCATTCTAAGTTTCAGCTCCTCCTCTTAAGCAAACACAGATTAAGCAGTTCTGGTCCCAGAGGGTAAGCTCACTGAATTGAAGCAGAAGAAAAAGTTGTGTGAAGCTTTCAACAAGCAGATCATAATTTCAAATTGACAGTCAGAAACGTTTGTTAGCAAACTAGTTCTCATACAAAGATGGGAAGAAATTTAAAGGAAGGAATGACTGCACATTAAAGAATATAAGCCAAGGTTTAATTAACACTGATTCCACGTGTTTCTGAGGTTGACATTTGCAGGGCTTGCTCTACTTGCTTTTTAAAATATAAGCACCAAAAAACCCAAGCAAAACACAAATGTATCTGTTAATTGCACACTTTCTACTATAATGTCCTGAAAGTTGACCAAGGAAGATGCATGTTTCTCTTCCCGAGTTTTTGTGATAAAATGTCTCATAATAATTCCCTGCAGTTAGGTGATTCGGACAATTATATCTTCAAGAATGGAAGATTTTAAAATATTCAGTTGTGTATAATATATATTGGAGGTTTGTTTTACTAATTTAGTTGTTAAATCAAAATTCAAGTCTTAATTCAGTGGTACTTCAGTTGCTACTGATGCTGTTGTTTGACACTGAACTGGTATTTGCCATACCTTGCAAGAACCACTTCACACCATTCAGCCCTGCACTAAACAAGCTGTCAGCAGTTTACAAAAACAGTTGGTTTTGTGTCCGATGGCTAAAACATATTCTTATTTGTCTTGCAGGCACAGGAGAGAGTGGCAAAAGCACATTTATCAAGCAGATGAGAATCATTCATGGATCAGGTTACTCTGATGAAGACAAAAGGGGCTTTACGAAACTTGTGTACCAGAATATATTTACAGCAATGCAGGCCATGATCAGAGCCATGGATACCCTCAAAATCCCATACAAGTATGAACATAACAAGGTGAGATTTTTGTTTATTTCTGTAGCTAAAGCTTTTCCTCTTTTTATCTTAGGAAATATACTGAAGATCTCAAAAAGTCACACCTTGTTACACAAATTATAAACAAAGCTCAGAACAAAAGGGCATCTTCTAGTCCTGCCTTTAGTTCTCTGATCTTTTTACTGCACTGACAACATGAAGGTCCTGCTTTTAACAAGACAGCTGCTCTTAACAAGATGCCTGGGAAGTTTGTCATAGGGCAGAGGTTTAATGGCCGGCTGCTGTTTAACTGTGACTTTAGTTACCCCTTGTGTTTTCCTTCCAGGCCATTCTCTAGCCAGGCCACGGTTAAGCTGTAGGTGCCATGGTGCCATGCCCTACCCATAGGTAGGGCTTTGGGTTTTTCGATCACCGGCTGCTATACGAGACACCTGCCCTGCTGGTGGCAGGTGGGATGCACCTGTCCCAGAAGGGCAAAAGGCTTTTGGGGCAGCAGTTAGCAGGGCTCATTGACACGGCTTTAAACTAGATATGAAGGGGGGAGGGGAGATAACTGGGCCTGTTAGGGACAAGCCCAAGAGAAACATGCCAGGGCTTGAAGGATGGTGGACTAGGGAGGATTCTCAGTCTGTTACTTCATTTGAGAGAAAGGATAGATGTTTAGAAATCATGGAAACACCTGAGAAGGGTCTGGTAGGAAATGGGGCCCACAGTGGGAAAAAGGTGTTGGAATCATTAGCTCATATGAAGTGCATCTGTACCAATGCATGCAGTATGAGCAACAAACAGGGAGCTTGAAGCCATGATACACCAGGAAAACTATGACATAGTGGCTGGCACAGAAACGTGGTGGGATGCATCACACGACTGGAGTGCCACAGTCAATGGCTACAAGCTCTTCAGGAGGGACAGAAAGGGAAGGAGAGGGGTTGGAGTGGCCCTGTATGTTAGAGAATGCTACAAGAGCTTGGAAATCAGGTCTAGTCATGATGGGGTTGAGAGTGTTTGGATCAGGTTAAGGTCCAACAAAGCTGATATTGCTGTGGGAGTCTGCTAGAGACCTCCCAACCAAAGCAGTGAAGTGGATGAAGCTTTCTATCAGCAGTTGGGAGAAATCTCCCAGTCACTTGCTGTTGTTCTTGTGGGGGACTTCAACCTCGCAGACATCTGCTGGGAATACAACACAGCGGAGAGGGAACATTCCAAGAGGTTCCTGGAATGTGTGGAAGGGAACTTCCTCACACAGCTGATAAGTGAGTCGACCAGGGAAGGTGCCCTCCTGGACCTGCTTCTGGTGAACAGGGAAGATCTTGTGGGGGAAGTAAAAGTTGGAGGCCACCTAGGGCACAGTGATCATGAGATGACTGAGTTTTTGATCCTTGGAGAAACAAGGAGAGGGTTTAGTAAAACTGCCACCTTAGACTTCCAGAGGGCAAATTTTGACCTGCTCAGAAGGCTGACTGACTAAGTCCCATGCGAGGCTGCCTTGAAGGATAAAGGAGTCCAGGAAGGGTGGACATGCCTCAAGAAAGAAGTTTTAAAGGCACAGGAGCAGGCTGTCCCTGTGTGCTGGAAAACCAGTAAGCAGGGTAGGAGACCAGTCTGGCTAAATAGGGACCTTTGGCTGGACCTTAGGAACAAAAGGGGAGTCTGTGGTCTTTGGAAGAGGGGACAGGTCACTCATGAAGTCTATAAAGATGAAGTGAACCTATGCAGGGTGAAAATTAGGACAGCCAGAGCACAGCTGGAGCTCAAACTAGCTACAGCTGTTAGGGATTATAAAAAATGTTTCTATAAGTTAATTAATAACAAAAGGAGGATTAGGGAAAATCTCCATCCCTTACTGGATGCAAAGGGAATCTTAGTAAAAAAGGATAAGGAAAAGGCTGAAGTGCTCAACACCTACTTTGCCTCATTCTTTAGCAGTGGAACTAGCTGTTCCATGGATACACAGCCACATGACTTAGGAAATAGGGGTGGGATGCAGAATGAGGTCATCACAATTAAAGAGGAAGTGGTCAGAGATCTACTACGAGAACATGTAATTTAAATGTTGTTTTAAGGGCAGAATAATAAAAATCTATACATTTTAGTGGATCTAGGTCATAATTCATGTCAGAGAACCTATTCTTCTGCCCAGGCACCCCTGCATGCTTTTTTTGGTGTCTGTTTGACTCCTCTAAAAATGATTGATAGATTAAACACTCCCACAGAAATTGACTCTGTTTAAAATTCATTAAGAGACTCAGTTTCTAAAACCTGTTACTTCCTTACATGGTCCCATTTTGAGGCTGCACAGATTGCAGGAGCATCTGACTGTAGAGTGGCCATATCAGTGTAGTGTTTCTGCGCAGTCTGCCCCTGGAAGGATCTGAATGACTGGCTACCTAACTAACCAACCACAGCTTCCTGTCTTCTGAAAGATTTCCCTCACTTCTCCGTAGCACCCTGTGATTCCTGCCTGAGTTCTGGGGGGGAGGAAGGCTGAAGATGGCTGTAACTGATTGGGAACCAATAACAAAGCCTCCGTAAGGTCATGGTGCACACCACTTTCTCATTACAATTGCCTTACACCTACCAATGTCAAAACCTGAATCTCTGTGTTCTCAGAGGTAGAAAATTCAGCCTGCATCCCACTATTTTGACACATCTGGTGAATGCCATACAAACCACTACTTTACCAGATGCCCATAAGGTAATACACTTGGTGATCTGAAACTGCTGATATTCAACTCAGAAGGTGGGACTTTTCAGCCTCTGTATCTTGTATGGTAGTTTGAGTCACCGTATTTTCTTTGTGCAGTGAGGAGTGTCCCAGCTCCTGAAACAGTCCTATTGCTAGGCAGACCAGTCTGGGCACGTGTATTTTTCAACCTAGTGTATTTCTTAGTTACCATCCAACTAACAGTTCCATGGATACACAGCCCCGTGAGCTAGGGGACAGGGAGGAGATGCAGAAGGAGGTCATCACAATTGGAGAGGAACTGGTGAGAGACCTACTACACCACTTAGACACACACAGGTCTATGGGACCGGATGGACTACATCCAAGGGTGCTGAAAGTGTTGGTAGACATGATCACCAGGCCACTTTCCATTTACCTGAAGTCCTGGCTAACTGGGGAGGTGCCAATGGACTGGAGGGTAGCAAGTGTAAGACCCACCTATAAGAAAGGCAGAAAGGAGGATCTGGGAAACTACAGACCTCAGTCTGACCTCAGTACCAGGGAAGGTCATGGAGCAGATCATCTTGAGTGTTATTAGAAGACATATATAGAGGATAACAAGGGGATCAGGCCCAGTCAGCATGGATTTATAAAAGGCAGGTCCTGATGAACCTGATCTCCTTCTGTGACCTGATGAGCCGACTATTGGACGAGGGAAAGGCCGTGAATATTGTCTATCTAGACATCCAAAAAGCGTTTGACACTTTTCCCCATAGAACTCTCATAAAAAAACTGGCTGCTCGTGCCCTGGATGAGCATACGATCTGTTGGATCAAGCACTGGCTGGACAGTCAGGCCCAGAGAGTGGTGGTCAATGGAGTCAAGTCCAGCTGGGGCCAGTCACAAGTGGTGTTCCTCAGGGCTCAGTGTTGGGACCGGTTCTGTTTAACATCTTTATTGATGATCTTGATAATGAAATAGAGTGTGTCATCAGTAAGTTTGCAGATGACACCAAGCTGGTGGGAGTGTTGATCTGCATGAAGATAGAGAGTCTCTACAGAGAGACTTGGATAGATTAGATTGTTGGGCTGATGTTTGGGCTTCAACAGGGCCAAGTGCCAGGTCCTGCACTTGGGCCACAACAACCCCAGGCAACCCTACAGGCCTGGGGAAGTGTGGCTGGAAAGTGTCTGGCCGAAAAGGACCTGGGGGGTCTAACTGTCAAGTAGCTGAATATGAGCCAGCAGTGTGCCCAGGTGGCCAAGAAAATCAATGGCATCCTGGCTTGTCTTAGAAATAGTGTGACCAGCAGAAGTAGAGAGGTGATTGTCCCCCTGTCCTCAGCACTGGTGAGGTCACACGTGGAGTATTGTGTCTAGTTTGGACACCTCCATTCAAGAGAGATATCAAGGTGCTGGAGCGAGTACAGAGGAGGGCAACAAAGCTGGTGAAGGGTCTAGAGCATAAATCTTATGAGGAATACTTGAAGGAGCTGGAAATGTTTAGTATGAGGAAGAGGAGGCTGAGGGGAGACCTCAACAGTCTCTACAACTGCCTGAAAGGTCACTGTAGAGAGGTTGGTGCTGGTCTCTTTTCACAGTGGCAGACTGTGACAAGAAGCAAAGGCTTCAAGCTGCAACAGGGGAGGTTGACTGGACATTAGGAAAAAAAAAATTCACAGAAAGAGTGTTTAGACACTGGAAAAGGCTGCCCAGGGAGGTGGTTGAGCCATCATCCCTGGATGTGTGTAAGGGTCATTTGGATGTGATGTTGGTGGATATGGTTTAGGGGAGAACTTTATGGAGCAGGGATGATGGTTGGACTTGATGATCCCAAGAGTCTTTTCCAACCTGAACAGTTCTGTGTTTCTGAGCCATTCTTCTAATCTGTAGCAGAACCTTACTACTTTAGGTTTGCCATTAACATTAAATGTGTGGGGGGGGGAGGAAAATGATATGTGCAAAGCATATGACATACTGATCTGAAAAGTTAGTTGACTGTAAAGCGCAGTTGGTTTTATTTCAAAATTGGTATTCATTTTTACTTTGCCTTAATATCTGGGAGTCCTAATTGTAAATCAGGATTTTTTTTCCCTGGTATTATACTACGGAGTGTATATCTCATAGTTATTATTTAAATTTAGAGTGCTGAATTTTTGTAGTGTTTTCATATGATTGGAGTGAATTAGTTAGTTTTGCCTGTATACACATGGCCAGAGCTGTTCACTTTCTTTATACATAAATAACTTTGTAACTCACAGAATGGTTTGAGTTGGAAGGGACCTTAAATATCACCTACTTCCAACTGCCTTGCATGGGCAGGGACACCTCCCACTAGACCAGGCTGCTCCAAGCCC